TGCTTGCAACATAGTCTCTGAAACCAGAAAGGTTAGGCTTCTTTTGTTGTGCACAATAGAAGCTGACTCTAACATAAGCAATAAGGAGCGTCCACAAAGACAATGAATGATTCCCAGTACAAAAGGGTAGGCTGCACCATCAGGAACCAAACTTTCAAGGATCGCACAATTTCTTCCTTTACAGACTTTCTTCCCACACACAGGACTGGCTGATGCAACAGTACATACCATGTGTACATGTGTCTTGACCCAGGATCCAGATCTCTGGGAGAAAATCTGTTCAGCTGAGTTCTGTGATGGGGAAGAGGTCATTCTGTGAAAGGGTTCTCAGTGAGAATGTTCCAACTATTCTTATTATGTCTGTCATTGTCCACAGGTCTGACCTCTACCATCCTCCCAAGGAGACTGGTGCTCTCTCCACACACCTCTCTAACCAAATCAGTATATTCAGTGTTCATGGATCGTTTAATGAACACTCTTGGTTCCATATTTCTGTTCACAAGGAATCCAGGTTAGAATACTTCCTGGCTTACTCAGGTTATTTTCTCCAAAATTTATTTATTTATTTTGAAAATCAAAGTTACAGAGAGAGGGGGGAAAAGAGAGGGAAGGAAAGAGAGAAAAAGGAGAGGAGAGAGAACCTTCTACTCTCTGAATCATTCCCCAAATGGGTCACACCGACCAGCACTCGGCCAGGCCAAAGCCAGGAGCTTCTTCTAGGACTCACAGCCATCATCCACTGCTTTCTCAGGCCATTATCTGGGCTCTGGATGAGTACAGCCACCAGGACCTGAACTGGCCCTCCTATGGGATGCTGGTCTCAAAGGCAACAGTTTAATATATGTTTTTAATTATACTTTATCTACTCTGCAACTCACTTCAAGAAAGAAATTGTTTTTTAAAGATTTATTTCTTTTTATTAGAAAGGCATATTTACAGCAAGAAGGGGAAACAGGAAGATTTTTCATCCGCTGATTCACTCCCCATCTGAAACTAGAAACCAGGAGCCTCCTCTGGGTCTTTCACAGCTTTGGGCCACCCTACACTGCTTTCCCAGGCTACAAGCAGGGAACTGGATGGGAAGTAAAGTAACCAGAACATGAATTCCATATGGTACCCTGGTGCCTGCAGGTGGAGGGTTAGTCAACTGAGTCATCATGCTCACCCCTATCTGGGTATCTGAGTTCTCAACATAGATTATAGCGTAACTGATTATCATGTCAAGAATGTCAAAGACAAATTTTAAAATATTTGCTTTCTGAAGAAATGTTTGGCTGAACTAAATCATCATTGTTCTACTGTGAAGAGTTCCCATCCATTAGTTCAACTAACCAGATGCCCACATCAGCTGGGATTAGGCTGTGGCTACAGCCAAGAGCCAGGAACACCATCCAGGCACCCCATGAGGGTGAAAGGAACCTAGAGAGTTGAATCCTCACGATGTCAACTAGGGTTCTGCATTAGCCAGAAACTGCAATCAGGAGGCAGTGTGAGACAGGAATCAAACCCAGGCTCTTGGAAATGGGATGTGTTGTCCAGCTTAGTCATCTTTTATTACAATCTAGTGGGCGCATCAAGGAAAGTAGTAAACAGAGTCAAATGGCCAATATCTGGAATGCTGAATGAAGAAACAAGGCGTCTGTTGAAGGCCCCAAACTGGGCACGGTAGGTAAAGCTACTGTCTTCAATTCCAGGACCCCTGTTATCCCACTCTGCTAATATCTGCCACCACTTTCTTTTCTTAACACCCCCAGGTTTCCTTCTCAGCAGACTGCCCCCTATATCTAAAGGAAAGAACCGAGGGTGGGAACCATCTAAACCTCTTCCGCCAAACTTACACTCCTGCTTGTGCCAGCACCCATATATTTTTCTGATCTCTTACTAGTCAAATGTCTCATCTTCTCTAAAGCTAGTCTTTGCCTTTATCTGACTGCAACCCCTACCTCCTTCCCAAGTATCTCAGCCAGTTAAGCCCTCCTTCTCCATCAAACTCCTCCTCTCTGCCACTCCTCTAGTCAATGGAAGGCTTGCCCATTCAAGTCCCAAACATTCTGTAACACTTGACCAACCCAGTACACCACAATCATTCTCTTAAGCTTGGGATCCCACAGGTTGCTATAGTTCTCTGTTCTTGCCCTATCAAATTCAATGCATCAAAACTTGATCTAATGTCTCTCTGCTACAGAATAAACTCTTTGGACAAAGTATGTCTGCTGTGCTGACCACTTTATTGCCAGTATGTCTCATATTGATCAGTATGCTCTAAGCTTACACTTAAAAAAAAAAGTAGAGACAGATAAAACTCCCATCCATCAGCGTACTCGCTAAGTTGCTGCAATGAGGGCTGAGACAGAAATGAACCCAACACAACAACCCAGATCTCTCACCTGGGCAGCAGGAACTCAGTATTTGAGATGTCAGTGCTGCCTCCCAGGGCGTACACTGGAAGGGAGTTGGAGTCATGAGCTGGAACCAGGAATTAAACCCACACATTCTGTGAAGACATCTTAACTGCTGAGCTAACTACCTGCTCCAAGATTACATATCTGAAAAGGAAAAAAAGTTTGCACAAGAATTAATAAAAGTACATATATGTTAACTTTGAAAACTTTCACAATTTAAAAAGTCAACTTAATTTTTTAAAATAAGTTTATTGATTTTTATCAGAATGGCAGATTTACAGAGAAGACAGACAGAAAGATCTTCCATCCACTGGTTCACTCCCCAAGTGGCCACAACAGGGCTGAGCCAATCTGAAGTCAGAAGCCAGGAACTTCTTCTGGGTCTCTCATACAGGTGCAGGGTCCCAAGGCTTTGAACCATCCTCCACTGCTTTCCCAGGCCACAAGCAGAGAGCTGGATGGGAAGTGGAGTAGCTAGGACACAAACCAGCGCCCACATGGGATCCCAGGGCATGCAAGACAAGGATTTTAGCCATTAGGTTTTCACTCCAGACCTACTATCTATCTTATTCCAGCTGTTTAAAAAACAAAACAAAAAAACCTGAAGGTGAGCTTATCAGTATTTTTTGTATATTTGCCATCTTTTCTACAATAAACTTCTTTTACTGTTACAATAAACTATAAAAAAACTTGTAAAGTCTAAAAAATGAACATTACTAATTTACGCTAATCTATCATCAATAACTAGCACCACATACAAAAAATTACCTGCTTCCATTTTTCCATTTTCCTTTTACTGCTCCTGTAGAACCGGTTGGCATGAGCAAGGGCTAGAGGGGCATATATCCTTCCTCCAAGTCCTCTGGCAGTCACTGATTGCACAGGGAACGAAATTCCTCAAAACGAAATCTGAGCATGGCAGCCCTTTCTGGTTAAGCAAGAAAATGTGACCACCTTGCAGGATCTTGGCCGCACTGTTAAATGCGGAGTATGGTTTTTCATTTTACTAATGGTTAGGTAGCAAGACTAATTCACTAGAGGGAGTATTGAGCTTAGCAGTTAACTTGCCAGTGGGACACCCACGTTCTATATGGGAGTGCCTGGACTGGACCCCTGGCTCTGCTCCCCATCCCAACTTCCTGCTAATGCCCACCCTGCAAGGCAGTAGATGTTGGCCTCAGAACTGGGTTCCTTCCACCCAGGTGTGAGAGCTGGGCTTAGTTCCTAGCTCGCAGAGTAGGCCCTGATCCCGGCTCACAAACTGTGGATATTTGTTTGTCTCTGTGACTACCAAAATAAACTTTTAAGAATTAAATACATTTTCTATTTTATCTTTTTTTTTCTTTAACTTTGCTCTGGTGTGAGTTTACAGTTTGATATTTATGTATTTTGCTTATTTTTATTGGATAGGTAGATTACAGAGAAAAGGAGAGAGTTCTTCCATCTGCTGGCTCACTCCCCAAGGGGCTGCAATGGCCAGAGCTGAGCTGATCTAAAGCCAGGAGCCTGGAGCTTCTTCTGGGTTTCCCACACAAGTGCAGGGTCCCAAGGCTTTGAACCGTCTCTACTGCCCTCCCAGTCCACAAGTAGGGAGCTGGATGGGAGGTGGAGCATCTGGGACATGAACTGGCACCCATATGGAATCCTGGTGCATGCAAGGCAAGGATTTAGCTACTGTGCGACCATGCTGGGCCTTCTATTTGATTTTGAACATAGTAATTGGAGACCCATTGGCCTGATTAAGAGACCTGGGTTAATCAATCCACTTAAAAAATAAACCTGCAAAAGTAGGTAAACTGATTACTGTTGAACAGATTTTAAAGTAATGAATGCTTCAAGACACAAAGACCATTTTGGAAATTGAAGTGTAAATGTTTAAAATGTTTACTTTTACAAATACTGAGGATGTGCTTAAAATCTGAGTCTCAGGTTTCATGCAAAGTACTTTATAAGTTCATTTTAGAAAAGTTATTTGGCACAGTGCACAGCAGACAGTACGTGCTGAATTAATAACAGTCATTAGCTTTTACTCAGGTTTTATAATCCTCACAGGGATCACTTTACCTCTTGCAACCAGCTCTCTAGTATTCACAGTAAAAGGATTCTTCAAACCTTTGGATATTCCATCAAATAAGTTTTTAAAGGAAGAATGGCCAACAAAAAAAAAAAAAGCAGTATAAACTTTATGATTTGTCCACTAAAAAACTTCATTAAAGTGATAATTTTTTATATAAGTGGTTCAATATTTCCTGTGTAGCTTAAAATCCAGTGTCAGTGAATAACACAGATGTCTGTCACAGAGATGACCATAAACCATCACATTTTCTGATACCTAACATTCTACTTCTCTTAACTTCCAGTTACCAGATCAAGAAAACACTTATTTTTCTAAAGTTACCACAACTTTAGGACTTCACAAATTCCCATTTCTTCAGTTTTACATTTTAAACCTTCTTAAAAGAGAAAGCTGAAACCCCAAAATCAAAAGCCTCAATCTGAGCCAACATTGAGAAACAGAGTGATGGAGGAGAAACAGAGGGATGGAGAAGAAACAGAGGGATGCTCTTTGATTCATCACAGAGCAAAAATATGAAACAATTATATTTATTAATTTATTTTCCATTAAAAGGAATATATTTTGAAGACAAAGATGATCAGTTGTCAGGTGTTGCTTTTGGTGAATGGTCAATGAGTTCCTTATCAATGGTCTCGTACTGATACCAGGGCCCATCTCCTCTCGCACGCATCAGTCTTCGAACTTCCAGCTCCTTTAATCTATAATAAATGCAATAGCAATATAGTGATTGATTTAACAAGAGCACCCATGAGAGTCCTTAATTTTTAATGAATTAACTAGAGCAGCAAAAATACTGAGACAGACACTCCCACAAGCCAGCCTGATACAGGATCTAAAGGGATAGGCCAAACACCTCCCCCGACGGTCTTTCATGGGAACAGTCTTCCATGTAAGCATCTATTCTGCATTTGCAGACAGGCAAACTCGAGACTCAGTTTTGACTTATTATCTTGCTTACGGCATCAGCCGTCCAGTATTTATCATTGCCGCAACACCACTTACATGGATAACCAATTCTCACCTTACAGTCTCTGCTCTTAGTGTGGACACACCACCTTCACCTAAACTGTGACAGTGCTTTACCTTTTGGACACTGGGAGAGACACTCGCAGAATCCTACTGTAACAGCAACATGCTCGGCTAAGTGCCAAGGCATGAAAAGTGGAGGGAGCTCACACACTCCTGGCTGCCTAACACCTAAGCACATAAGACTTCTCAGAGCAGAAATGATATTTTATTCACCTGTATTACACTGTGCTCAGTCAACAACAAGAGTTAACATTCGTAAAGAGTAAGAAAAACAATCATGATTAAACAGCACACTCTCAAACTCAAAAATCTGCTTTAATGTTCTAATCCTCCACAAACTGAGTAATCTCCATGCCATAAAAATGCTTTCCCTCTTCCACATCCACACTTTGCAAAAACTACCACACATTTTTGAAGTAGTTCCTTGTCCCTCAAACTTTTTACTTCCTTTAATGGAACACTTATTAACTTGTTCATGACTGCAAATGTATTCACTTCATTAATCTTATCAGCTCATTACCCCTAGCTAGAAGAGATGCTCTATTTTTGTAATAATGTACCTAAGAAAGTACATTTTGTTTAGAGTTAGTTAGTTGAAAGGCACACACACACACACACACACACACACACACAGACATCATCTACCACTGATTCACTCCCCAGACAAACCAGCCAGGTCCGGACCAGGCCAAAGCCAGGAGCGAGGAACTCCACATGGGTGTCCCAGCTGGGTGGGGTTGCAGCAGAAAATGGCCCAAATGTTTGGGACCCTATAACCAAGAGGGAGACCTGCAAGACGCTCCAGACTCCTGGTTTTGGACCAGCCCAGCTCTAGCTATTGCAGCCATTTGGGGAGTGAACCAGTGGTTTGAAGCTCTCTCAGAGGGAGAGACAGAAATAGATCATCCATCTGCTGGTTCACACCCCCGATGGCTGGAATTGGCAGGCCTGGGCCAGATCCAAACCAGGAGGCAAGAGCTTCATCTAGGTCTCCCCTATGTGGATAGCAGGGGCTCAACTCCTGTAGCCACCTTCTGCTGCTTCTCCCAGCCCATTAGCAGGAAGCTGGGTCAGAAGTGAAACAGCCAAGACTCCAATGTCCACAAAGATGCCAGGGTCACAGGTGGCAGCTCTACCCACTACGCTATAATGCTGGGGAATACCTACCCCTGTTCTACATATTTCTTTATTACTTTAGTCCCCAAAATGCCTGCAGTTCTGGAGCTGGGCTGGGATAAAGCCAAGAGCTAGAAACGCCAGGCCTCTATGTGGGTTTCAGGAACCCTAATACTTGATCATCACTGATGCCTCCCAGGGTCTGCATGAGCAGGAAGCTGGAGTAAAGAGCTGGAGCCAAGAATCACACTCAGGTAATCCTGTGTGAGAAGCTAGCATCTTAATGGGATCTTACACACTAGGTAAAACACCTGCCTCATAGCATACACTTTTTAACATTTACTTATTTCAAAGGCAGAGTAACAGAGAGAAAGAGAGCTCTTCCATCTGCAAATGTCCACAACAGCTGGACTGAGCCAAACTGAGAGACTGGCACTCATGCTGGTCTCCTACATGGATGGCAGAGGCCAAAGTACTTAGGCCAGTACCTGCCACCTTCACATATACATTATCAGGAAGTTGGAATGGAAGCAGAAAAGCTGGGGCTTGACCTAGGGATCTCATACAGTTATACACATTCCATGTGGTGGCTTAACTGTTGTGTCACAAAGCCTGCCCCAACATATACTTTAGAAAAACTGCAAATATTACCCATTCCGTGTTCTTTCCTTTAGGGATAGAAGTTAGGAGTTTTTTGCTTGTTTGTTCTGTTTTGTAATTGTTTAGAATCTCTTACAAATGCAAAATTAAAACATTTTCCAACAATTGTATATGTAAAATGTTTGGTTTGACAAATCTCAGAAAAACAGAAATTAACATGTTACTGCCAGAAAAAAAAAATTGATGTAACTTTCTGGAGAAGAGATTGGCAATATTAATCTGATAGTTAAAACTGTACTCTACATTTTAAAAGCTTTACTGACTTGTTTACTTGAAAGGCAAAATGACAGAGAGATGGAGAGAGAAGCACACAGAGTGAGTGGGAGAGACTTCCTATTTGCTGCCTTCATCTCTCAATAGCTCTAACAGCCAGAATTTGTCCATACCAAAGCTAGAAGTATAAAACTCCATCCAGGTCTCACACAACAACAGGGATCGCAGTATCTGTGCCATCAGACACATGAGCAGGCAGCCGCACTGGGAGCCGAGCATGCTAGGACTCAAACAGCACTCAAATATGGGATGTCAACTGGCAATATAATTCACTAAGCATGCCTAAAAGCATACATCCGTGTCACTATTGGAAATTTATTTTCCAAATTTATTGCATAAGCATGTAAAATTCCTTTACAAAGATATGCACCACAGCATTATATAAACTACAAAAAATAGAAAGTTGCAAAGATGCAAACCAACAGAAGATTAATATAATCTTTAAGCATTATGAAATTTTTATGTACAAAATTTCTCTAGCAACATTCTTCTATACAAGAACTGATTAAGTCAACATCATAGTGGATGAGGTTGGTGTAGCACAAAATAAGTGAGGAAAGCGTAGCCATGCACATAAAAAAAAACAGAATACTTAAAAAATAATTCCTTTTAATCTGACAGGTACTATTTATTATTGTTATCTAATGACAAATTCATACTGACTGTCCAAACTGGCTGTCTCTCTCACCGTCTTCCTTTTACATGGAGCATCCCACAGCTGTAATCATTTCTCTCTTGTGGTTTGCAAGCCTAAGAAAGACTCTTCTTCTTTACCCCACACGTCAGCTTTTCCTACCTTAATTCAGCCTTTTCAGCTTCAATCTGAAGAATGGCCATTGTTCGTTCATAGTTCTTTTCAGGAGCATCAAAGAAAGTACGGGCAATCCATCTTGATATGGGATGCTACAAGACAAAATTTGTTTAAAATTAATCAGTTTGTGAGCTGTACTTTGCTTTTCAAGTTGACTGGCTTTTTGTTTGTTGTTTTAATGAAAGGCAAAGTTACAGAGAAAAGAGGAGGAGGAGAGAGAAACGTAATCTCCCAGCTGTTGGTTCACTCTCCAAATGGCTGTAACCACAGGAGCTGAGCCAATCCAAAGTCAGGAGCCAGGAGCTTCTTCCAGGTCGCACCAGCGGGTGCAGGGACCCAAGGACTTGGGCCATCCTCTGCTACTTTCTCAGGCCATGAATAGGGAGCTGGGGCAGAAACAGAACCAGCATCCACAAGGTAGGCCAGCGACTACAACACTGGCCTCTAAGTTGACTATTTGTTAAAATGATCATCTCAGACAAACCAGTGAAACTTCCTATGTGTCAACTACTGTACACAGTTTTTAAATAACTTAAATTATTACGTAAGTACTATTTTTGTCCTCATTTTAGAGATGAGCAAATTGCACAAAGGAATTCATACATTAAGTAGCAAGCAGCAGTATACGAACTCAAATCAGGTCTGTCCAAAACCCTGCCCTTTCACCTTACATGATATTGAACGTCTGAAATAGCAGGCCCAGGAGTCAAATCCAGCCTTTAGGGCCTGGCGGCGTGGCCTTGCGGCTAAAGTCCTCGCCTTGAATGCACCAAAATCCCATACGGGCGCCGGTTCTAATCCCAGCAGCTCCACTTCCCATCCAGCTCCCTGCTTGTGGCCTGGGAAAGCAGTCGAGGATGTTCCAAAGCTTTGGGACCCTGCACCTGCGTGGGAGACCTGGAAGAAGTTCCTGGATCCTGGCTTAAGATCGGCATAGCATCAGCTGTTACAGCCACTTGGGGAGTGAATCATCGGACGGAAGATCTTCCTCTCTGTCTCTCCTCCTCTCTGTATATCTTAAAAAAAAAAAATCCAGCCTTTAATGATCCCACAATAGAGTTCTTTCTATCAGCAATCAACAATAAACAACTGTGTGGCTTCTCTTTTAGAAAACAAATTAACTTTATTTGAAAAGAAGAGAGAAATCTATCTGCTGGTTCACCCCCCCAATGGAAACAACAGTCAGCTATGGGCCAGGCTGCAGCCAGGAGCTAAGAACTCTACCTAGTTACCTATGTGGGTAATAACAACTCAAGCACTTGGGCTATCACATACCACCTTCCCAGGTGCATTATCAGGAAGCTGGGTCAGAAATGGAGCAGCCAGAACTCAAATCAGCACTCCAATGTCACAGCTGGATACTGTGACACAACACTGGCCCTTTACAGCTCTAAAGATTTAGTACGGAAGCATTTCTTTTCTAAAATATGATAATTCCTTTAGAATTCCTTTTCGAAAATATGGTAATTCCTTTAGATAATTAAAGCATGGTAGATACGTGTTCTATCCAAAGTCATCTCACTATATTTACAAAGACTTAATGTTAACAGTTTTTGGATTTGGTAGCAGTGAGAGTATGGTGTCATGACTGACAGTGCAGGCCATGGAAGACGACATGGTTGAAATACTGGCTCAAAGTCTTGCACAGGTCAATTAGCAGGACTACTATTAGAAATTTATTTTCCAAATATACTGCATAAAAATTCTATGAGAATATTCACCACAGCATCCAATAAACTGCAAAAAAAAAAAAGGCACAAAAATCCATCTTGGAAAGAAACATACTAATAATAGATGTCTTTTAAGCTTCAATTTTCCCATCACTAATGGCAGTACTAATGACATCTTTTACATGGGACAGGTTTGCAAAACGCTCAGCACACTGCCTGCTGCACACCGTGAGCCCGATAAATGACAGCTAGAGTTAGCAATGGTAAAATCCTCCTAATCACATTGAGCTTCGAATAAACCCAAACACATTGCAGAATCATAAAAAAAAAAAACTGTAAAGTTTTAAAAAGCAAAAATAAATGAATAAAACCACCCAAAAGTTACATATGAGAGCAAAAAAAAAAAAAAAAATCATCTACTTGCTATCACAAGTTCAATGGAATTTTCCCATAGTTGCTGAATTAAGACATTAACTAGCACACTGAGAAACAGCTAACGAAGTCATCTGCAGGGGCCCACACACACCTTGTAATACTCCCAGTGCTCCGGGATATAGCCTTCCGGAATTTCTGCTAATTCAGCTTCACCTGACATGAGAAAACAGAGATGTTTAACTTTAGCACAGCAGTATTAACTCTTTGTCAGTAAAGTAAAAAAATCAATGTCTTGGGGTTGCACTTTTTTTCTTAAGACTAGATTGAATATTTTAAAATTCACTTAATCTGGCCGAAATCTATTCATTATGCATATTTCAGACATGTTCTGTATGTTCACCATTATATGAGAACTTACTATACTGCTATTATATAATAAGATATAGAAGATCACAAGATTCACAAAAGACATATCCTTCCTGCTGGGTTTCCCAGTATCTACCAGATAAAATATTTCAGGATTTAAGAAGCTAGAAATAGTTTAAACATAATTTCCCATGAATATGTAATGCTGTCATTTATATTTGATTCCTTTTTAATTTTTAGATTTACTTCTTTTTATTTGAAAGACAGATATTACAGAGAAAAGAGACAAAAAGAGGTCTTCCATCTACTGGCTTACTCCCCAAATGGCAGCAATAGCCAGAGATGGGCTGATCCAAAGCCAGGAACCAGGAGTTTCTTTCCGGGTCTCCCACGTGAGTGCAGGAGCCCAAGGACTTGAGCCATCCTCCACTGCTTTCTCGGGTCATAAGCAGGGAGCTGGATGAAAAGTGGAGTAGCAGGGACTATAACCAGCACCCATATGTCTTAGGGCACTATAGGCCGAGGATTAGCCTGCTCCCACACCAGTCCCTAATTCATTCTTTTTAAAACATACAGTTTCTCATGTTCCAGGATAGACTTAAAGAAAACAAACAAAAAAAGCCTGCCTCCTGTCTCTTTCTACTTCCCTTATTCAGAACTGTCAAAGCTGATTTCGGGAAATAAGCTTTGGTAACCCTAAAGAATTTTTCAAGAAAAAAAGAAAAGATATTAAAAAAAAGTATACACTATTTTAGATTAAGGTTTGTTATCTTTAAAATACTTTTTCAAGCATATGCTTATTTTATAAAAGAATTTTTCAGCACAACATCCATAATTTAAAAATTCATGCACATATATTTTAAAATATTCAATTTGATGGGGCAGGGGTAGTGTAGGGAAGGGGACTTACCAATGAATATATTCACCAGGGTGATGCCAATTGCTACAGGAATCCCAGTCAATAAAATGTAAAATTTCTGGCAAGATAAAAAATAAAAAAGTTTTTTTAATGACTATTTCCTGTCTCCACTTTAATAGCATCCTCATTATGATATCCTTATACTCTTAAAATAAGCTTGCCAAGTCAGAGATAAAGTATCAAATCACCAACTTCCATGATTTTTCTTTTTGTTTTAGATTTCTGTGTTCAGCACTAAGAATAAAACTGGACTTTGCAGTCAATCACGTACCATGACCAAGTTAAGCGCATAGTAGACTCTGCTTTTGATAGTGCAAAACATGATGGTCATGAAACATTCATCAATTTAAATAAAACCAAGGCTTTATTTGCTTTAAATAAATGAAAAAATTGTTACAATTATTTAGACAGGCATAAATTTGAGAAGACATTTCTGAGATGGAGACTATTCTCCACAAAGAGAAAAGAAAAAAAAGAACAAATTTTCTAAGTATCATTCAACAGAAATTTAACTTTTTCATTTTCCAGCTTGAGCAAAATGCAGCCCAATCAGGCAGGAGAAGATGGATACTAACAGGGGAGCTTTGCAGAGCCGGAGCCACCCATACCTTCCTTCCTCCTTTGGAACTGACAGCAGCTTCGCTCTCTTCTTTGAGTTCTGGGGTCTGGGGTCTCACGCTGGGGGCTGTCAGAGTGGGCCAGGGACTGCACACATGTTTCAGTCTCAAGGGCAGGTGGGGAGGGGAGAGGGAACGGTCCCAGGCTAGCACGGTGTGCGCATGGGCTATGCCTGGGGTCTTCCACATGCACTTGTGTCCCAGGCCCGCATATGTGCCAGAGGATCAGGTCTAGGAACCCATCTATGATCTTGGGTCTCTAGTGGGCAGGCAGAGCTCCAGACCAGCATGCCACTCCTCCAGAAGACTGGGCTGGGGAACCCATTTGCTCCCCAGCACAAGGACTATGGACTGCTCTGGGAAGGGGTTATAGGGATGTGAGTATGTTTCAGGTGAGAAATGACTTCTGGGCGATTTCTACTGACAAGGTCACTGTAGTTGGAGGTAAGCAAGGGGGCTGAGATTGAGTGGGTCTGGAAGGGGGAAGCCGGAGGACCTCTCTGAGTCAGACTGACATACCTGCCGCCCAAGTAAGAGACCAAAGTCGGGCTAGTTAACGTCAACCACCACCAACCAGTGCACACAAAAGCTAGGGCTGGCAAGGCTAGACCACAGTACCCTCCAGGGAGTGTCAAAACAGGGGATGGGTCAGGTTAGGCTGGGCAACGATACTAACCAGCATGTGAGAAAATGGAGTCTGTGGGGGACATGTGGGTCCATCACTGTGGAACTGCAATTTCTGCTGGTTTGCTTAAGAGCCAGGGTTGTGATAAGCTGAGCTAGGCATAACCATGGGACTCTTGGACATTCATGGGTACCAAGGTTGGGAACAGTTGGTGTGGTCCAGGCTGCAGCATTCACAGGCATACCCAAGAATAGGGTGTGGGGTGGGCCAGACCTCAACATCTACCAACCCATAGGAGGGCCAGGAGGCAGACTATGCCGGTATAGGTCTAATACCCATTAAAACATGTGAGATCTGGGTCTGGGAGTGGGCCTGTTGGGAGAACTTGGGAAACTCCCTTGGTGGGCCATAGCTCCCACTGGTGAGCATGTGATTCAGGCCTAGGTGTTGGTCAGGTCAGGTAAGGAAGCTCCAGTTGTCAGCAAGTATGTGGCTTGGTTCTGGAGGGTAGGCAGACCAGACAGGGTTGGGTCAACCTTAACTCACTAGCATGTGCAAGAGCCAGGTTGGAGTGTGGGTCATGCTGAGCTAGGCTTTCACAACTACTGGTTTGCATGAGACAGGAATGGGAACAGACTGTGCAGGACTAGGTGGCAGCACCTGCCAGCAAGAATTGGGACTGGGGGCAGGCCAGGACAGGCCAGGCTGTAGCATCTGATGGCAAAGGCCAGAAAAGGATGGGCTATGCCAAACTGGGTCAGAGCAACCAATGGCATACACAAGATTTGTGGCTGGGAACAAACCTGGTTGGGGAGCTAATTGGACGCCCTGACTGGATTGTGGTTCCCACTGGTGAGTGTGAGAGTCAGAATGGGGGTCAGCAATCTGGGCTGGATATGACTGCAGTGTCCCTCAACATGGGTGTGAACTGGGTCTGGAATGTGCCAGATTGGGCTAGACTCCAGCACCCATGGTGCTCATGAGAGAAAAAGAGGATGTAAGACAGGCTGGGCTCAGTCTCCATACCAGCTGAACCATGCAAGAGCTTTGTCTGGACGTGTAGCAGGTATGGCTGGGCTGCAGCACTCAACAGTAAGACCCAGAATGGGTGTGGACCAGTTGGGCAAGGACACTGTTCTTGCAGGACAGGAGGTGGACTAAGTCAGGCAGGGCCAAGGCCCCACTAGTGTGTGCAAGCTCTGCCATGGGAAGGAGGCCTGATAGAGGAACTTGGTGAACTCCTCTGTCAGGACACACTGCCTACAGGTGAGTGCAAGAATAAAGGCTGGGAACAGCCCAGATCATGCCAGGTAACATCTTCACTGGCACATGTGTGGGTTAGGTTGGGGGTGGGGAAGGCTGGGTCAATTCATAACACCCAGTGGCAGATGTAAGAAACAAGATGGACAGTGTAGCTTGGGCCACACCACCATCCTGTTCACATTAGGATTGGAACTTGGGGCTGGCTAGGTTAAGCTAGGCCTCAGCACCTATCAGTACGAGCTGGAACCAAGGGAAGACCAGGCCAGGCCAAGCTACAGCACCCGCCAGCAAATCCTGAGGTGAAGTGGACCATGCCAGACTGGGCCACAGCACCCACCAGTACACATGAAACATGGAGGAGGAAGGATGTGTGAGCCGAGCAGAGCAGATGCAGAAGGCTCTGCTGCTGGGCCACTGTTCCACTGCTGAGTGGGAGACCTAGGACTAGGAGCAGACCAGGTTGGTCAGAGTTGCAGCACCTGTTGGTCTGCAAGTAAATTGGATTAGGGAGAGAGCCAGACTGGGCTAAACAACTGTATTGGTACATGCATGAGCCAGAGTAAATGCAGTCTAGTCGGGCTTAGCCACAGCATCAGCTGGAAAGTGGCAGGACTGGGGCAAATCCTGTAAAGCTAGACTGTAGAAGCACATGGAAAATGCAAGATCCAGGACTGGGAGTGAGCCTAGTAGGGAAACTATGAGCACCTGATGGGCTGCAACTCCCACTGAAGAGCATGAGAACCAGGGCAAGGGGCAGACCTGGCTATACAGGCAATGGAACCACTGACATGAGTGTAGACTGGATAGTGGGGTTGGTTGGTTTGAGCTGGGCTTCAACACCCACTGACATGTACGAGACCTGAATGGGATGTGGGACAGACTGGACCAGTTTGCTGCACATACTGGCAAGCACAGGCACAAGGGCTGGGGTGAGTCTAGTGGGGATTACTGGGGCTCGCTCCAACTAGGTTGCAGCTCCTGCCTGTGTACTTGAGGGCTGAGTGTGTGGTGGGCAGGGTTTAGCTAGGCTGCAGCATCCCTTGGTTTACATAAAAGACAGGGCTGAAGATAGAACTGACCCAGCTACTGCAACTACCAGTGTGTGCATAGGCTGATATGGATGACCAACAGAGCCAGACTCCAAACTAGCAAGCACATACAAGTCAGATCTAGAATCACTTCAGACAAGGCTTCTTTGGGGATCCCCCCAAACTGAACTGCTGGACTAAGAATTCCAACCATGTGGAGAATCGCAAGATTTGTGGTCTGACCATGGAGTGCATGTGTCAGAACTGGTCCTACCCAGTGGCTTAGATGGAGCAGTGGATGGCATACCCAGATGCACATGGAGGATATGGCAGTCCATTGGAGCCTGCAAAGGACATCTGATTCCCTGGTACCATAGCAGAGCAAGAATTGGTCAACTCTCCCAGCCAAGCATTGACAGCAAATATCTGCTTGAATGGAGACTCTAAGGTGGACTATATCAGCCATTGGACCTTCGGAGGATTTCCTCACCCTTGGATCAACGATATCGACAGCAATCTAGAACTATCAAAACCCCCTGAGCAGAACCCTTGCAGCATGCTCCACATTGGGGACACTGGAGTGACATCGGGTGGCCCTTCCCCATCACTGAGTACTGAGGCAACTGGATGCGGCTTCTCCTCTTCTTACCCCATTTCCCCGACACAGGACGAAGAAAATTAAAATTTGGAAACAATGCTCTCATCTACTTTCCTTTAATCCTTAGCCCTTTCCACTCTAATCAACTATGTAAACATCATCAAAAAACAAACAAACGGTTGGTTACTCCTGTCTAAAGTCAGAGACAAAGACAGAGTCTAGAGACCCTTCTGCTCGCAGGGCCTGCAAAGTGACCCGAGAGCTACAAGACTATCCAAATACACTCAGCAACCTAAAAAAGCTGTATCAGTTTTATTCTTGCTACATTAGAATCATACTATAGGGTTGTGTTATTCTTAGAAATCAATGTTCCCAAACAATACATGGATTTAAAAAAATCATATCCTAAAGTAGGAAAGCTCATTTACAGAAACATTACAATAATTTTTTTGGGTAACTTCAAGAATATTTTAGTAATATAAATAATTATCCCACATTAATCAATTTTCAGTTTTTTTTTCTTTGACTCAATGGAAGGAACACACTGTATTTTAAAACTGTAATTCTGACAAGAAAAGAATGGCTCAAGTTTTACCTCTGACTGGGATAAATCCTCTTTCTGAAGGAATAAGGTTCACTAATTTAAAAGACCAGGAACACACCGTATTGTACAATCTCAGTATCTTCTGAGGAAAGTTACAGATAAAACTGAACTCACCAATAACTTCAGGAAACGCTGGTCATAGAATCTCGAAGGTCTGATGACAAATAGTCTTTTCCCATGATCTCCACTGTGCCGAACAGGAGCTAGAAATAGTACAAGGTTCATACAAGCACACTGTTATATTTCTAGATAAAACCGAATTATTAGGAATATATACATGCGAAAATGTTTAACAGAAGATTTGAAAACTACATTTTAAGTTTGTATACTGTTTAACAAATTATGTCATTTTACACGGTGAGGCAAGACTTACTGCAAAACAGACAGGAAGGATCAGCAGCATTTACTCAACATATATCCAACAGGAATTCAAACTTCTTATAGAACACACTCTAAAAACCTGGATAACATCATTTTTTGGTAAATAATTTCTGCTTCCATCTATTCCCTCTAAGTGTGCTCCCCACCCCGATGGAATATAACCAAGCCTTGCTGTAGATCAAAGGCAAATTTCATTCCTGGCCCCTCTTCCTCCACTCATCTCTCTTCTGCAGGGTCTGGGAAACACAGTCCTGGCATTCCAGGCTCTCTGCACTGGGAGCAGGCAAGGCTGTTAGTGAGACACCGGAGATTGTGATGTTTCCATTTGCACCGAAGGAAAATTCTGCACCTGCATCAGTGCAGAGTGAACAAGTTTAATTTCCCATCCTGAGGACATGAAGCCTTTGTTCATGCTTACTGCCTTCCTGGTCCAGCAGGCATCTCACCCTCCAAAGAGCCGACATTCTGCCCAGAGAGATGAGGTTCCCCAACACCTGAGCTGCCACACATTCCAAGGAGTACATCTGCTTCCACTAGAGTCACTTTGGTTAACCGTGAATGTCGTGGAGGCAGAAACCCCCTGGTGCAGCAGCTTGCAATGAATTCAGGTTAAAATTGATGATAACACGGGATCCCCCAAGGCTTTCACACACATTTACAAAAGACTGAATGTAAAAGAATCAACTATAAGAAAGCAGGTGGAAAGCACTGCCTGGACCTGCCAAAAATTTAGCTGTTTACAAAAAAGCCAAAAGCCATTTCAGTCTTAATTTGATGTACCAAAGGTACAGGATCACAGCAGGAACAATCCTCTCCTCGCCTACAATCCTCTCCTCACATCTATGGAATCATGTCTACTCCAGAGAATACTCTTAGAGGAACAACCAGGAACTTGTCCCAACTCGGGAATCCAGGTCTACCAACAAGAAGGAAACAGGCCTGTGCTTGGCCCCTGCCACCCCCATGCAGTCCCCCAGTCCGCATGGCCCAGACCTGGGCTTTGGAGAGTAAATCAGAAGATGGAAGATCTATTTTTCTCTGTGTGTATCTCTCTCTGTCTCTCTGCCTTTCAAACACTATTTACACAAGGAAAATGTAATACAAAGAATTATGGAAGAATGGTTCGCATGGATGCATTCTAGCAATGTTAATTAACACAGAAATGTGAACTGTTTGCTCTGCCTTTAGATGTAACTAATCAATTATTACACAATGATTTACGTGTCAGGCATGATAGCTCAATGCCTTCCAAGTGCTGGGATCCCATATGGGCACAGCTTCCTGCTTGTGGCCTGGGAAAACACTAGAGAACAGCCCAAAGACTTAGGACCCTGGACCCACATGGGAGACCCAGAAGCTCCTGGCTCCTGGCTTTGGATCAGCTCAGCTCCAACCATTGAGGCCAGCTGAGGAGTGAGCCAGCAGATGGAAGATCTTTCTGTCTCTACTTCTCTCTGTAATCTGCCTTTGCAACAGAAACAAATAAATCTTTTTTTTTAAAAAAATGCAAATAGCCTCAAGAAAGTCACTTAGTCTTTAATAATAGTGGATTTTGCGAGGATTGAAAATCTAACATAAGAGAGAATCAAGATGGAGGAATAAGGTAAGGACACATTTAAACGGACGGAGAAACATTTAATCAGGACGAAGCAGAGAGGACATATTTCAGGAAATAGGAAAGGACAGAACAATAGCAGAGGGTTACCTGGAGACTGACAGACACAGGAAAGCAGCGGACATAACAGTGTGGTGTTGCAGTGACTGATACTCCAGCGGCATTCTGCTAACGGCGGTCTGAACTCCACCAGCAACCAGGTGGGAAGGGACTTTCACTAGGAGCTTGGGAGGTGCACCCAGACAAAGAACTGTCCGTCCTGCTGGTCCGTTTGACTTGACCAGGAGCAGAGACAGAGCAGCAGATCTCAGATGGGCAGTGTGAGAACAGAGTGGATTTCATAACCCAGTCGGCCCCCTAGAGCTGAATTGGGCGCCATTTTGCATAAGGTGGAAAGGGCAAGGGAAAGGATGGAGCATGCTCTGAGCTGGGAGTAAGCTCATTTCAGACTTGGTGAACTGCAACGGCATGGCATTCTATGGGTTTCACCCGGGGCAGGTCTGGGTAGCCCTAAGATCTGACGGCCAGCAGATCCATAACTGTAGTGGTGGTACGTCAGGCGTCATTTTGCGCACTGTGGCAATAGCTTTGAGATTGCAGGGGACAACAGTGAACTGCACATGTGCTGAGCTCGCGAAAACTCACTGAGGTCACACAGGAAAATAATACCGCCTGCGGCTTCGTACAGGTCAAAATAGATTCGTGTGGCACCCAGACCTAACGTCCAACAGGTTCTGACAAGATCAGTGCCACCAACAACCTAACTAGACAGGACACCTGGTGTCTCTCTAATCCTGGGACCTGCTCCAACCGGAAGTGGAACAGAGGTTGCAGAGACAACAGTGCAGCCTCAGCACGGTATCACAGGAGGTAGAGAGTGGTGAGCCAAGAGCTGGGGCTGTGGAGGCCACAGTAGAAATCTAACATAAGAACCCAGACCTGGAACTCGCTGGAGGTTGTGACACAATTGGCTGCAAGCAACAAGTTGTCTACCAATCACAATAAGTAAAATCACATTGTAGACCTGTGGGTCACACAGCTTAGAAACCTACCCCAAGAAGAAGACTCTGCTAACCAGAAGTACAATGATCAAGAGCAAAAGAGACAGTGGCACAATGAATATTACTGCAGACTCCCCTGCAAAGGAGCAAAACCCTATGCCAACCTCAGACTTAACTGCGGAAGACATCGAGAAAATGGGGGACACAGAATCCAGGGACACAGAATCCGTAAGACTCATTTTAAAGATTCTGATCAAAAATGAAAAGCTCATGCAAGAGTTCAAAGGATTTAAGGAAGCAATAAAGCAAATCAAGGCTGGTATATCAGAAATTAAGAATACAGTAGAGCAAATAAAAAGTACATTGGAGAGTCTCCAAAATAGAATGAAGTAAGCAGAAGAAACAATCTTAGAATTGGAAGATATCTCCTGTCACCAGGGGGATGCAAACAAAAAGCTGGAAGTAGAGCTGGATCAGGCCAAAAAAAGTATTCAAGAATTGAAAGACGGGCCCGGCAGTGTGGCCTAGCAGCTAAAGTCCTCACCTAGAACGTGCCAGGATCCCATATGGGCGCCGGTTCTAATCCCAGCAGCTCCACTACCCATCCAGCTCGCTGCTTGTGACCTGGGAAAGCAGTCGAGGACGCTCCAAAGCTTTGGGACCCTGCACCCATGTGGGACTCGGAAGAAGTTGCTGGATCCTGGCTTCCGATGCCATTGTGCTCACTTGGGGAGTGAATCATCAGACGGAAGATCTTCCTCTCTGTCTCTCCTCCTCTCTGTATATCTGACTTTCCAATAAATAAATAAATCTTTAAAAAAAAAAAAGAATTGAAAGACACTATTAAGAGGCCAAATATAAGAGTTATGGGAGTTCCAGAAGGTACAGAAAGAGAAGCTGAGTTTGCAAATGTATTTAATGAAATAATCAAGGAAAATTTCCCTAATATGGAGAAAGAATTGGGAAACAAGATCCAGGAGGGAAGCAGAACTCCCAACAGGCTTAATCAAAAGTGATCTTCACCAAAACACATGATCATCAAGCTCTCTTCAATTGAACATAAGGAAAAGATCCTTAAATGTGCACATGAAAAAAATCAACTGGCAGATAAAGGAATGCGAATTAAGCTCACAGGAGATCTCTCACCGGAAACTCTAAGGCAAGAAGAGAATGGAGTGACATATTCCAGATTCTAAAAGAAAAGATTTGTCGGCCTAGGATAACCCCGCAAAACTTTCTTTCATCTTTGAAAATGAAATAAAATTCTTCCACAAAAAAGAAAAGCTAAAAGAATTTGCCTCTTTCAAACCTGTCCTACAAATGATACTTCAAGATGTTCTCTTGACAGAGAAGAGGAATAGCACCTACCAAAACCAAAGGCAAAAGGAGAAGAACATCCCAGTAAAATGACAACAGAAGACTAAACCAATGAACAACCCATTCCTAAAATGACAAAACCAAAGTACCACCCATGTATATTTAACTCTTAATGTAAATGGCTTAAGCTCAATCAAAGGTCATAGATTAGTAGACTGGATTAAAAAACAAAACCCATCTGTTTATTATCTGGAGGAGACACACTTCAACAAAGATCAGCAGAAACTATATCACATGGGTTTTGTTGTTTTCATCTCTTCAAAACACTTTTTTCTGATTAAATCGTTCAATGACTCTTGGATCATGCAATGGCATCATTTTCTTCAAGAAGGTTCTTGATTTTCATTTCTTCAGCTACATGTTAGTCATTCAATAGCATGTTGTTTAACTTCTTGGTGTTGCTAATTTCTTTTTTCTCCCTGATGTAGATTTTGTTTTTTTTTTTAAAGATTTATTTTTATTATTTTTTCATTGGAAAGGCGGATATACAGAGAGGAGAGACAGAGAGGAAGATCTTCCATCCAATGATTCACTCCCCAAGTGAGCACAATGGCCGATACTATGCCGATCTGAAGCCAGGAGCCTCTTCCGGGTCTCTGACACTGGTGCAGGGTCCCAAAGCTTTGGGCCGTCCTCGACTGCTTTCCCAGGCCACAGGCAGGGAGCTGGAAGGGAAGCGGGGCTGCTGGGATTAGAACCGGCGCCCATATGGGCTCCCAGGCGTGCAAGGCGAGGACCTTTAACCACTTGCGCCACCGCGCCGGGCCCTAGATTTTGTTTTCTGGCTCTTCATTTTTTTTTTTAAGATTTATTTTTATTATTTTTTTTTTATTGGAAAGGCGGATATACAGAGAGGAGAGACAGAGAGGAAGATCTTCCATCCGATGATTCACTCCCCAAGTGAGCACAACGGGCCGATACTATGCCGAACCAAAGCCAGGAGCCTCTTCTGGGTCTCCCACGCGGGTGCAGGGTCCCAAAGCTTTGGGCCGTCCTCAACTGCTTTCCCAGGCCACAGGCAGGGAGCTGGAAGGGAAGCGGGGCTGCCGGGATTAGAACCGACGCCAATATGGGCTCCCGGGTGTGCAAGGCGAGGACTTTAACCACTTGCGCCACCGCGCCGGGCCCTGTGGCTCTTCATTTAAGGGAATGTATAGTAGCTGTATAATGGAGACTGTCATATCTAGTTATATGTCTTTTAACTTCATGGCATTGTATATTTCTATTTTTCTTTCTATTCTTAATTTTGTATCATGACTTTTCATTTAAGGGGATGTACAGTAGTTATGTAATGGAGACTAACAACCAGATGTGAGGATGCAGTGTGGTATGCATTTCTGTTTCCAGACAAAGATGGACTTACAATGAAACTGTTTACTATATCTTGACAATAGGATTCTGGACTCTCTGCCATTGTCCATGCCCGCAATGATGGACATATGACTGAGTATGAAGAACTATATGCTAGTAATGATATAAAGGAACTAGGTGGAGGGGAGGGAATTGGGGAGGGGATAAGGGAATATGGAACTGTATCGTAAAATGATAGTAATAATAAAATAAAATAAATAAAAACAAACAAAAAGAAAACCTAACATAAGATCTTTCTTTGCTTCAAAGATTAAAAATAGAAAATGGATCATTTCTTTTCTTTCATCCCCAAGTAAAGACACCATCATGCAATCATCCAGGCTAAACTTCTCAATCGTCTACCTGGCACCTACCTCTCTCTCAATCATCATTTTGTCAAGGCCTCTTTGTTCTAAGATCCAAACCTTTCAATGCCTTCTCTACAAGTCTAACCAATCCACAGTCCAGGAAGTCATCCAGTATTCAACACAAGCTTGTAAACCCAAAATTCAGAATCACTCCTCTGTTACGAAGAGCACCTTTCCCTATGAAATAAAATGCACATATTCTGGCTTCATAGTCCTACAACAACCCACCCCTCTAACGTGGTCTCAACCTTCTGTTTCGAGCCTTCCTTCTCAAAATCAACCTATCAAAAGCCTTATACAAAGACTTATTAGAGAACTCCTTCTTTATCTCCCTTCCCATTTTATTTGTTAAAATTATCGCCGTAACCTAGTTAAAAATGCTGCAGATGATCCATGTTCTGAATTAAAACTACGGTACCTTAACATTCTCATTTTTTTAACAATGAAAAGTGCACATCAGTCTTCAACTTTTTTTAAAGATCTATTTATTTTTATTGCAAAATCAGATACATAGAGCTAGGAAGATCTTCCATCCGATGACTCATTCTCCAAGTGACCACAATGGCTGGAGCTGTACCAATCCAAAGCCAGGAGTCTCTTCTGGGTCTCCCACACAGATGCAGGGTCCCAAGGCTTTGGGATGTCCTCAGCTGTTTTCCCAGGCCACAGGCAGGGAGTCGGATGGGACGCGAGGCTGCTAGGATTAGAATCAGCGCCCATATGGGATCCCAGCCCATTCAAGGTGAGGATTTTAGCTGCTAGGCCCTCAACTTTATTTTTTTAAGAAGCAGACAGAGAACCCATCACTATTTTGCTCCCTAAATGTCTACAACTCAAAAGCAGGGAGCTGGGAACTCAATTCAGCCATCACCTGCCTCCAGGATAACCATCAGCAGAAAACTGGCATCGGGAGCAGAGCTAGGACTCGAATTCAGCATTTGGACATGGGATTACAGTCATTCCTAGCACCAACCTAATCAATGCACCAAATACCTTCCCTGGGTGTTCAGCCTGTAATCATTGTTCCTTATAGCTAAGGAGAGAAGTGCAGCTCCTTGCCTCTCAGGCCTGCTAGTTGCAGGCCAACTTCAGGATCCTGGCCTGACCCTGGCTGACGCAGGCATGTGGGGAGAGAAACAGAGGGAAGATCTCCATCTACCTTTCAACTAAAAATGAAAAGAAGAAAAAAGATCCCACAAACAGGGTTAAAAGGGCAACACACAGACTGGGAAGATGAACGACACTATTTCAAGGAGGTTAGTTCAAGCCCGTGGATCCTGAGACCTACAGGAGCTCCTAGAGCTCATTCTCCCAGGACACCAAGAGATGTCGGCATACATACAATGAAACATTATTATCAAGTCTTAAAAAGAAAAGAATTTCTCACTTATGCCTCATGGGTGAAACTTGTTGATGCCGAGTAAAATCAGCCAGCTACTAAAAGACAAGCACTGTCTGATTTTACTTCAGAGGCATTGAGAGTAGGCAGTATCATAGACAGATGACAGAATGGTGGAAAGGCCTGAGCAATGAATGGAGTTTGTGGTCTGCTGTTTTTCTGTAAACTAAAAAGAGTTACACAGGTAGATGATGGTGATACCACTGATCAGTACATTCAACGAGTTACAGCAGTAAATCTTATGCTCTAATGTGCTGCAAATTCTTTTAAAAAGCTAGAGCCAGATACTGTAAGTTTTCCCATTTATAGTCTTCATAACTACTTTGCAACATACACTAAAATTATCTGTTTTAAAGATATGGGACAAGGTGTTTGGCCCAGCAGTTAATACATTGGTAAAAATGTGCCCACATGGAGGGGCTGGAGCCACAGCAGAGCAAGCTAAGCTTCCACCTGCAGTACCAGCATGCCATAAGCTGCCCCACTTCCCATCCAGCTCCCTGCTTGTGGCCTGAGAAAGCAGTGGAGGACGGCCCAGTGCCTTGGGACTCTGTTTCTTGGCTTTAGCTCGGGTCAGCTCCGGCTGTAGGGGCCATTTGCAGAGTGAAGCAGCGGATGAAAGATCTCTCTCTCTCTGTAACTCAGCCTTTCAAGTAAAAATAAATAAATCTTAACAACAGCAAAGATGCCCCCTTGGATACCAACAGCTTATACGGAAGTGGTAAGGATGGAGTCCAGGATCCACTTCTATTCCCACTTCCTGCTAACACTTCTCTGGAGGCTGAAGGTGCTGGCTTCAAGTTGGCCAGCTGCATAGCAGATTGGATTCCTGGCTGCTGGCTTCATACTGCCATAGTCCTGGTTACTGCAGGCATTTGGGGAGTGAACCAATAGACAGCAGCTACTTTTTGTTAGGATTTTTAAATAAAGATTTATTTTATTTTTATTGTAAAGGTAGATTTACAAAGAAAAGGAGACGCAGAAAGATCTGCCATTCACTGGTTCAGTTTCCAAATGGCCCCAATGGCAAGGCCTGAGCTGCCAAAGCCAGGAGCTGCTTCTCGGTCTCCCACATAGGTACAGGGTCCCAAGGCCATTAGTCATCCTCTACTGCTTTCCCAGGCCACAAGCAGGGAACTGGTGGGTAAGCATAGCAGCGGGGACACAAACCAGCCCCCACGTGGGACCCCAGCACATGCAAGGCAAGGACTTTAGCCACCAGGCTACTACAACGGACCCCTACTGCTTGTTGAGATATACCACTATTCAATATGCATAGTTCCTAGGAACCGTTCTGTTCCCACTACAAAGTGCTCAGTCTCCTTCCAGAGCTCCCAGAAGAGGGAACAGTGCAGAAAGAACTGAGGGTAAAATTTTCCCTTGGTTTATTTTTAGTTCGAATCTCTTTAATACTACATGAGAGAACATCCTAAGTTTTTGCATTTGAACATTTGGAGACAACGGTTATCAGAAACAGCTCTGAAGGGGATATAAATCAAAGATCACAGAGTTTCGGCATAAGGTCAAGTTCCTGCTAGAAATCTAATGAAGACCATCATGTTTTCAACAAATGTCCATGTGTATTGATTGCCTCGATGTGTGAAATGGCACCAGATTAAACTAAAGAAAAAAAGGGAGGTCAAACAGGACAACATTTTGAGGTCAGATTTTTTTCGGGTTCATGGCAAAAGTTTTTCATTCTTTAGTAGCATGAGACTTCACACCCCTAGAATGCATCCCAAGGTCCCTAATAGGGGTCAGTTCAGTCCTCGTAGGGTCTACAGCATGGCCTCCCTGTGACCCCAGCACTTGCTCCATCTTGCACCCCTTCCTAAGGTACGAAAAATAACATTCTGTGATTGCCTTGACATAAAACAAACATCAGCCAAGCTGGAATCATTATCACGTACTCAGTAACATTAGAATCTTTAGTAGTAGCAGTACTAGCAGAGGAAGAAGAAATAGAACAAGAAGAAGAAAGAATATTAAGTTTCGTGGACCCCTGCAGCCACCACGGCCTCTACAGGCACCGTTTGTCTGCTGTCCGTGGTGGCTAGCAGCTTGTCCTCGGCCACATCGCTCCCGGCCGTGGACTAGACACCATCCCGGGTCTCACCTCTGTGCCTTTCACCGGCTGGAAGGCGCAATGGCAGCGCGTGTAACAACATGCTGCCTTGCAGTTTAAGCGAAATCAGGAGCCCCTCACAGCGTGCGTGTTGCCTCGCTCCTCACTAGGCTACAATTATTCCCTGGTCCCCCGGATCCCACCAAGGTCACCCGGGAAGAGTCCGCCCGCGCCCCGCAACGCCCCGCGCGCCCTTTCTCCCAAGCTCAGCACCCACCGACAGCTTTTGGCAAGCCGCGAGTGAGGAAGCCTCCGCATCCGAGTCGAGGGCCAAGGCGGCGACCACACAGAGCTGCGACCGCGGTGACCGAAGCCCGCTGCAACAAACTCATCGCCGCCATGGTTACGACGGGCAAAGGAAGGAAGCCGGGAGACTAACGGGAGCCGAGGGAACCAATGTACCCGGAAGGGCAAAAGTGCAAGATGGCCATATTGAGTGAGGGCAAGCGTCTGTTCCGGTCGTGCCGGAAGTGACGCTACGGTCGGTACAAACGCGGTTTCCTTAGTTATGAGAAAAAATGGCAGCGGCTAGTTTGGGTGTTCTTTGGAGGAGAGTCTCAGCAGCAGTTCAGGCTTCCAGGGCGTTAGTAATCCCTCAGACCGCTGCTAGCCACAGGTAAGTGATGTGAGGAGAAGGCTCAGCCACTCCATGTGGGGTCGCGTTTGGTTGAGGAGATACCGAGAAAGGCTCCAACCAGAACGCCAGGTGCCAAACCGCCTCAGTGAGCAATGAATGACCTTGGAGCATTCGCCCACCCCTCTCATTTCCACTCCGTCTTCAAAAGGTTTTGCTGCAGCCTCCAGTAGACTAGACATTTAGGGGATGTGCAGACGGCCAGTGCTAGCTGTGAAAGCCCTACAGGAACATCCTCTTGGGTGGGGAGGGTGGGAGACAACTTCATGGAAGAGAAGCTGTTTTAGAAACGGGGCGGGGTGGCGGTGTCTTTGTACCTCCACGAGATGTCTGCAAAACACGGTGAAGGAAATGTCTGTTAAATAAAACAGCCCAATAATGGAGAGTCGCCTTGCAGCTGCGAGACCTGCCTGTGAGTTTAGCTAATGCTAACTTTTTGATATCATATAATGCTTTCCTAGGCATTTGATTTACACATTGGTTTTTATGATCATTCCTTCCGTTGAAATTTCTGGATCTCAAAGGGGAATTGTTTTAGGCCCCTGATGCATGCTACAAAATTGACCATCAGAGTATTTTCCATACCGGGAGTGTAGGAAATGTTACCTTAAACTGGAATTGTATAAATATTTCCTCCTCTGAAATTTACAGGTAGCATTATAAATCAGTCTTAAAGAATACCTTCTGAAGCATTTTAAAAATTAATTATTGCTGGGGGGAGAAGCTTTGAGTAGATTTTTTTTTTGGTGATTTGGTTTTATTGCTTATGAATTGCTAATGCTGTAAAGCTACAGCTTGTTCACATGTGTTCTGTTGCAGGTTTTCCCTTGGTTTGTTGCCTGTGACTGTACAGAACGTGGCATCCCTTAGCCATTGTCGATTATTTCATACCACATTAGCAAGGAAAGGACTGGAAGAATTTTTTGATGACCCAAAGAACTGGGGGGAAGAAAAAGTGAAATCTGGTGAGATACTTGTGTCAATTCATGTGTTTTGTAAAAAAAGAGAAATCTGTAGAAACCCCTTAATTCTAGACTTTGTTGTGTAGCTTAGGAATTATTTATGACCCTTTCTGAATTTCCTTTGGAATTATCTAGTAGAGGAAATTAAAAGGACTGTGTGGAAATTAAAAGGACTGTGTGGTAGTAGAGTTAATTGTCCTTTGCGGGTTGGTAACAGGCATGGAAGAGGAGTAAGTAGAAAAGTAGAAATGATTAAGATATGAAGATACATTCTATACAATTAACTAATATTTTTAAATGCTATTCTCGACCATGTTACTAATATTTGCACAAGTTATCTGATTAGTTCCTAATGTTTAGGTTACAGAATTTAGCTATTACTTATTTTACGGATAAAGAAACAAACACGTTTAAACAGGTGAAGTACTTTGCCAAGGGCACAAAACTAAGCCATTATTTCATTTTGTAAATTTATCTTTCTAGGTGCTGCATGGACCTGTCAGCAGTTAAGGAACAAAAGCAATGAAGATTTGCATAAACTTTGGTATGCATGCTAAGTGATTAACATGAATCTGAAGCAGCTGTAACAATGAGCTAAAGACATTGATCTGATGTAAGACTTGAGGAGATGATTTATGTTAGTATGGTGGGTGATCAATGTGATTATGAACGATTGTGTATACATGACAGATATTATGGCAGGACAGATGGGTCAAAGCTCTCAAGCATTTGCAGAAAAGGGTTAGAGATTATCCCCTCCCTGGAACCAGCCACCTGCACATTAGCAGGGCCAAATAATGAAATGAAATGGAGAATAGCTGGTCACGTTTGGGCCAGCTTCCTGTCTTTTTATTAATTTTTCATGGTTTGGAACCTTTAAGCCATTTGCTTTGAGAGTGTGCTGAGGATGTATTTAATATGGAATATAGGTAGATTTTTCTAGCATTCATCTGCTAAGTAAAACATTGAGAGGATTTAAGCAGTTGTATTTTTCATTCCATTTTTAGTATATGTGCTGCCAAAGCAAGCACACAGTTGTATTTTTAAATTGCCTATATGTAAGCCCCAAATACTTACATTTTATTTAACTTGGTTTTCTTTTTTCTTTCTTTCTTTCATTTTTTTTTTTAATGAACATACTTAAAAAAATTCTTCTCCTATGTGGGCGACAGAAACCCAATTACTTAATCATCCCCACAGCCCAGCAGGGTCTGCGTTAGCAAGATGCTGGGGTCAGGAGCTGAAGCAGGAATTGCACGTAGGTGTCCTGGTGAAAAAGGTGGGCGTCTTAAAAGGCTGTATCCCTACCCCCTTTTTTTTTTTTAATTTAAGATTTGTTTATCTTTATTACAAAGGCAGATTTACAGAGAGAAGGAAGAGATGGAAAGATCTTCCATTCACTGATTCACTCCCCTAGATGGCTGCTACGGCTGGAGCTGAGCCAGTCTGAGCCAGGAGCCAAGAGAGTCTCCCAGGTCTCCCATGGGGGTACAGGGTCTCAAGGCTTTGACCCATCCTGCTCTGCTTTCCCAGGCCACAAGCGGGGAACTGGATGGGAAATGGAGCAGCCGAGACACAAACCAGCTCTCATATACAGTGCAAAGCCTTGTAGACAGATGATTAACCAGTTGAGCCATCACACCAGACCCGGCCCTTTATGTTTTAAACTCAGGCATTTCATGCAGCAAAATTGGGGTTTCTGGCTTCTGTTGTAAAATCAGACCTGTGATTTGGCGAACTTCATGCTTGCATTCCCACTGGGCAGTAGCTGTGTGGGCTCGCCCTTCTGGGTGCAGCTGTGCGCCCCGTTGCTACACACACCCTGCTGTTCTGTACCTGGGCCACCTCCCTCCGGGTGTCATCTGCCTAGGTACTATAGAACACATGGACATGTTTACCTCCTGGTTGGAAGGGTTGCTTCTCTTTTATGGCACATTAAGGAATGATAAGCACTTGTTAAAACCACTAAGTTTACATGACAATTCATTATAGAAAAAGAAGATTGTGTTAAAGTGATGTTACTGTAGGTTATCAGAAAAAGGATTGTTGAGCTGTTTCAACCTTCCGTAGTGACCAAAGCCTATCCCTCTGCTGCCATTCCTTCTCCCGAATTCCCTTCTCCCACCCTGACATTGAGGGTGCTCTGCCTTTATCTCCTTGCTTCAAACATGTCTGCACAAACCTACCCTCCTTCAGCTCTGTGGCTTTGTTCCTGCCTGGGTACTTTGCTGTCCTCTCCACCTTATTGGCCCCATTTCCTGTAGGAAGACACCCTCTCAGAAGAGATGCCTCGCTTCAGCAACTTAATTATTTTTGAAATTAACTCCTCTTTCCCACCCAGAATGCCACAACACATAGTGGCTTTGGCAGCAGCTCGGAATGCCTTTTGCACCCAGGGAGTTAGGACTTTGAATGCTCAATTAGCTGTCTGATTCAGAATACCCTACTCCTCTCAACTGTGGATTCATTTAAAAAGTGGAGACAGTATGACCTCAAACAAAGATTGTGGTGGGGATGAAACACAAAATGCACAGAAGATGTGATTGATGCTGAGTAAATACTATTTGCCTTCTTTTCTCACTCCACTTGGAGTGTAAGGACTATGTTTGCTTTTCCGTAGCTCTCCTAGCTCCTAATACCCATCTGTGGGTCATGGGAAGTTTATTGAATAGATGAATAAGCACAGAGAGAGCTCTGTATAAGATTATTCCTTGTAATGGTTTTATTGGTAGAGATTTCTAAAGAAGTTTCGAGTGCAGATCATAAACTTTGACATCAGAAATCCCAGCTGTGGCACAGACCATCACCCCACACTGTTTCTTCCGGTGCAGGTATGTCCTCCTGAAGGAACGGAACATGCTCCTGACGCTGGAGCAGGAGGCCAAGCGGCAGAGATTGCCGATGCCAAGTCCAGAGCGCTTAGACAAGGTACGGTTCGAGGGAGGCGCGAGGCTCGGGTAGGATAAGGGCCGAGTGAGTGTAAGACCCCCACATTTTGCAGAAAGTCACTTTCTTCTTTTGTTGAATTTTAGTAGATTGTAACTACGGAGTTATTCAACCATGACAGTGATCTCATTTTAGGGCATTTCTATCAACCCAGACAGAAATCCCACACCCTTCTGTAGTCCTCACTCATTCTCACCCACACTCCCCATACCATGGATGGACCTATGCTTTCGTTTCTCTGAAGTGAATACCTCAGTGAGCAATTGCTGGGACTTGAGCCAAGTCTATGTGTTGTTTTAAGATTTATTAATTTGTTTGAAATAGTCACAGAGAACAGGAGAGACAAAGACTTTCTACCGGCTGATTCACTTCCCAGATGGTTGCAACGACCAGGGCTGGGCTGGGCTGAAGCCTGGAGCTAGGAGATTCTTCCAGGTCTCCTACATAGGTGGCAGGGGTCCAAGCACTTAGGCCATCTTCTCCTGTTCTCCCAGGCAGTTAGCAGGGCGCTGAATCAAATGGAGCAGCCAGGATGCAAACTGGTATTGCAGGTGATAGCTCTACCCTGTACACTACAACATAAACCTCCAAGTCTGTCTTCAATACAAGAAATTGCCAAGCTGTTTTCTAGTGGAGTGGTACCACTTTACAGTTCTAGTTGCACTTTGGGCACTTTTTCATGAACTAGTTTTTGTTTTGCTTTGTTTTAATTAGAAAGGTGGATTTACAGAGAGAAAGAGAGACAAAGGGAAAAACCTTTCATCCGCTGTTTCACTTCCCAAGCAGCCACAATGGCCAAAGCTGAGCTGATTCAAAACCAGGAGCTTCTTCCGGGTCTCCCACGCAGGTGCAGGGTCCCAAGGCTTTGGGCTGTCTTTGAC